TAACAAGCCAATATGTGGTGCGTGGATAAGATCGGCACAGCACTTCACACCCCACAAGTCTCCTTGTGCCATTGTTCAGGAGACTGTGAGTTCCAGGTCCACCTTAGGCATGAAAGCTGTCTGGGTGACTTTGAACCACATTCTCTCTGGATCACATTCTCTCTCTTAGCCAAACTCACCTCACAAGGTTGTTGTTTTAGGGAAAATAGGAGGAGGAAGGAGTATATTATGTATTTACTGTCTCGATTTATTAATAAAAAATAATAAAGGTGTAGTATAAACAGCCTATCTGAAAGGAGAAGGCTGTCCTAAAACTTTGCAGATTTGTCTGTCTCTCACACTGCTGCTTTTAGTAAAAGATTGAAGATAAGCACATTTATTTTGAGGACTGATGGCATATATTTGTTTTCATTTTATCTACTTTTTTTTTACTGTTTGTTGTATTTTTCTATCTTGCTGGTCACCAAGAATCTTGTAATTGTGGTGGCGTAAAACTTTCTTGCCTCAGCAAATAAGCATGATGAAATCCCCCAGAAGTATAAAATTGGGGAACTCCAGTGCCAACCAGCAATCTCACCTAATCTCTGATTTCACAAGGCCTCATACCCAGCTATCTATCCATTCTCAACTCCCACCCAAACATAACAATTCTGCTAACATAGCTTTGGTGCCATACTCTTTCTTCAGGCTCAGTCAGGTCTCAGTGATGCACAGCAAGCTAGCTGCCCAAGGATTAAATCTAAAATTAAGGTTAGGGATTTATTAAAAAAAAAAACAATGTAATTCAAAAGCACCAGCTAGAGTCCAAAGCCTAAGGAAATTGGAACCAGCACAGGGAATCAGGACGCAAAACCAAAACAGTACATTGAGACTGCATATTCTGTGAACAGCCACTCTCCACCTCCAACTCTATCTCTCGCTGCCCATTACCACCACCACATTTCTACTTGCCCCCCAAACCTACCCCCCCTGGCCCTAACCCCTTCTCATTGGTACTAAGAGCTGCAGTGGCGCAGTGGTTAGAATGCAGAATCTTAAGAAGACCATGAGATCTTTGGACTCATGTGTACCCTGTTTCCTTGAAAATAAGACCTCCCTGGATAATAAGCCCAATCGGGCTTTTGAGCCCATGCACTAAAATAAGCCCTCCCCAAAAAATATTGCAGCAGCCATTAAGTGACCACCCTCCCCACCTCCTGCACCTCAAAAATAATAAGACCTTCCCAAAAATAAGACCAAGCGCATATTTTTGGGGTCAAAAGAAAATAAGATGCTCTTAGTATCCTCAGATCCCTTCATGATGTGAAGTAGATGAAATGCCTGTCTTCCCCTTCCAGGCACTGTGTCACATATAAGGCAAGATGGCTACTATCCTTTTAAACTCCCCAACAGGGTATAGTCCACAAGCCCCCCCTCCCACCATTCCTGAAAAAAGTGTTCTTATGAGAGGAGCAAACTCCAAGAGAGCTAGTGCTAATGGACTGTTATTTCCCACAAATTCATATGTGGTCTTTGCAGCAAGGAGTGAAGCTATTGCAAAGCAGTCTCAATGTTACATTTCCTACAAGAGAGCTTGACTGAATAATCAGTCTTTCAAAGCATATCCGGTACTGGCAGATGCGGACCCAGTTCAAATTAACTTTGCTAGAAGGCTGAGGCTAATTCTAGAACTACCAAATCTTTTAACTTGTCAGCCTTCCGGATTCTGTTAGTTGGAGGCTGATTTTGACTGTTTTGACTATTTTCAACATCAGGACATCATAGTTGTAGGTATATAAGATTATACAAATTGTATATTGCTAACCAGTGTTGGCCTGGTTTGATTAGTTGTTGAACTGAACACAGACTTCTCACCCAAACAACTTCAATTCACTGGTCAACTCAGTGTTTTTTCTCATGCTGCCTTCTTTGATCAATGCCTGAAGCCACACTGATTTACCCTCTGCACAATAATAATAATAATTTTAATAAGTCCAGTTTTCTTCCATGTTTCTGTGCAGGGAGGACATCCCAACACTTCTGCCTTTTGGTTTCTTTATCTCGGAATGCCAGCCCTCTACCGAGCAATTTCAGTGTCAGGAAACCAGATGAGATAATCATTTCAAAGGAAAGCCAGGAATACAGCTTCAAATGGAAGGCAGCTAATCACTCCTTCAATAGGGAAGACCCAAGCCCAGAGAAATCATAGGAATAAAGTCTAAGCTTTAAAACTGCATGCTCTGCTTGTTAGAAACTTGATCATTAGGAGTTTCACTCAATTTAAATGTGGGACAGTCCTTCAGGAAATAGCAAGTAATACATGGCTAGGGATGGAAACTTACAGGTGTGTGAGTGGAAGCAAGCCATCTAGAGACATGTTATCCAGTCTGCTCAAGTGATTGTTCTTGAGGATCCTAAAGAGATGGAAGAAAATTTAGAACATACACACAAAATCACAGCCGGTGATGGAAGAGGTACACCAGACCGTCCATTTCTCTAGTCCAGGTGCAGCAGTGAGACACTTGTGATGCATGACTATCAAGAGCTAACAATGAAAATGGATATTCCTGCCACGTTAGTTACGTAGTATAAACATGAGAGTATACTCACAAGTATTCCGTCCAAGGATAGGCCCACCACACATGTTTGTTAATGGAAGAAATTGTGTTTCCAGTAAAATCCCTGGATGGAAAAAATGAATATAAGAGAATATATACAATTCAAATGTACAGAATCTCAATAGACATTAAACCAGACAGTTCATATCTAATACATGATCTGAAGGTTAGCAGCTACTATGATTAAGTTTACATAACATAACAAGGAAGGGCCATAAAAAATAAACTCCACATTATGCAATGTGGATCCCTAAAAAAATAGGGATGACTAAATGGCTCCGGAACGGGCACATGGTTATGACATCATTTTATCATGATTCTTGACCTCATAGAATTGCCAGAACCATGGCAACAATACAGATTGTGTCTCTTTTATAGAGAATGAACTGATTTCATGAGATCACACAGATATTTGTGATTATTTTTTGGGGGGGTCAAAGCCATAAATGGGGAATATTGTATATTTCAACTGGAAATCAGGTTGTAAGGCCTGACTATCATTCTGCAAATCACCAAGGCTTGAAAAAAGAGGGAGAAATAGTGGAGGAAGAGGGGTAGTAGAACTTAAGACTTATATACCCCCTCATAATGCTACACAGCATTCTCTGGTTTTATAATGTCAATATATTGCCCCCAACTATCTGGGTCCTCATTTTACCAGACTCAGAAGTATGGAAGGCTGAGTCAACCTTGAGCCCATCAGGATTGAACTCCAGACTACGGGCAGAATTAGCCTGCAATACTACAGAATCATCCTCAGAAGAAACAGCATATAAATTAGAAACAGAAACTTCACGTACAATTATGCAATGTTTACAGATTATCTATGATTTGGTATACCCTGTCAGGTCTGCAGTCATAATTCTTTTAGGATCTTTGGCCTGCCACACACACACTCTCTTTCTTTGCTATGCTGTTTCATTGGTGGGGTAATTGGGAGGGGGAATAGTAAGGAGTAGAATTGTAGAATGTATTGTTGTCAAAATAAAACGTTCCTTTCTAGAAGCCCAAGGTCATTCTTTGTCTCCGCATCTCTGCACCTGACCAGAACTAGATGGGTGAAAATGCCAGCGTGGCAGAGGAAGATTGGACCATGTGATAGACTTGTGGGTGTGGGGACAAGATCATGAACTTTCAACTGGGTGGGAACCCCAGGAAGCTTTCAGATTTAGGTTTTCCACAGATGTACCAACATGTCTCGCTTATTAAATTGAAATTTTGATCAAAACTATGCCTTGAACTCTGATTTAATTCTGAATGATATTTGGAACGCTGACACACACATTGCACAAGTCAAGTTGAAATATGAAAAAAAAATACTTAGCTGATTTCACAACAATCAAATCGTAAAATGTAGTTTACAAACCAGTGGCTAGCTTCACCAAACTGGCTGCCAAAACAAAAGAAGTCACAATATCCAAAGCATTATGAATAAGACCTGTACATTTCAGGATGTACAACCCTTCACCTTTATGCTTATTGTACCTGAGAATATTATGCCTTATCTTCCCCTTACTTGTAACAAAATTTTTCCTCCCTTAAAGTGGACTTCCCTTCTCAATTATAGGTGTGATAGTTGCCACCAAAACTTAAATACTCACAGCATGACAAAAACATAGGGATGAGCAGATGGCTCTGGAACAGGCACATGGTTGAGAACATGAGAATTGGTAGTCCTGCTGCAGTTGAGGATTTTTAATGTACAATGGCATGAGGCTGGGCACGGCTGTATCGCTGCATCCAACCACCTAAGAGGCTCCAGTAAAATTCCAAGGAAGAAAAGAAGGGTAACAGAGGCCACAACCCGTCCCATCTTTTTCATATGCCCCAGTAAAGACTGCCTTGGAAAATGGCATCCAGCCGTGGAGGCGACTCTATGTGGTTACCAAGCAACCACATCCTAATGTCATTCCATATGGAGGCTGCCCTAGTGAGGCTAGTAATGGAGAAGGTATTCCAAGGGTTCCATTTGGTTGTGACATCATTTTACCATGATTCCTAACATCCATAGAATTGCCAGAACCATGGCAACAATATAGGTTGTGATCTCTTTTATAGCTAATGAACTGATTTCATGAGATCACACAGATATTTGTGATTATTTTTTTTGGTGGGGGGGGGAGGTGTGTCAGAGCCATAATGCATATTTCAACTGGAAAATCAGATTGTAAGGACTGGCTATCATTCTCCAGCTACTAAAAGACAGTGTAAATTACCCAAGGTTCGAAAAAAGAGGGATAAACAGTGGAGGAAGAAGGGCAATAGCACTTAAGACTTATATAGTGCTATATACCATTCTCTGATTTTATAATGTCAGCATATTGTCCCCAACAATCTGGGACATCATTTTACCGACCTCGGAAGTATGGAAGGCTGAGTCAACCTTGAGCCTATCAGGATTGAACTCCAGACTATGGGCAGAGTTAGCCTGCAATACTACAGAATCATCCTCAGAAGAAACAGCAGATAAATTAGAGACAGAAACTTCACGTAAAACATCCAACTTTCTTCCTTTGGACCTAATTTGTTTATTGCATTTGTATCACATTTCAAGCAGCCCAATTCCTGGAGGCTTACATGAGTGCTATAAGTGGGACAATTTACAATACCTATGGTAAATATAAAAACATAAAATCAACTTTGAGAATATTAAAAATGACAACTATGGAAAAAAATAGCAGTAACAACAAAAAACATTCCAAATAAATTAAAATGCTTTCCAGAACAACTTGATCTTAATCTACTTAATCAACTTTCAAAGAAATGGACAAGGCAGCACAAAAATAATTATTTCATTTAATAATCAATTTAAATTACTTTCCTGTAAAATAGTATATTCCCATTGATAATATTGTGTGGTCTCGCTCTATATCCATTGACTATTTTTATATACAGAAACCTGTCTCTCACACACAAACACAAACATAGTGACTATAGCATCCCCAGACATTCTTTTTTTGGGATGGCATGAGGATAAGTAGGAACTATACTAGTAAGAAAGTTGAATAAAATCTGGAGGAAAGTAAAAAGTAACTGTAAGGTAGAAAATAATGCCTCTTGTTTTTCCTTTCTTTTCAATAGTTTGTTCTATTTTTATTGGCCCACTCCCTCAGTTAGCAATGATTTGTGGGTGGGGGGAGAATAATCATCCTATTGTGATCCATTTTAGTGGATACATTTGCTGCCTATTAAAAAAGATAGTCAAATTGTCTTTTCTATCAGTAAACCATTGATCAGAAAAATATAAAAACCATAAAAGCATTACTGTATCTCCAATCATCACTAATTATAAATAGGCAATTAGTCTTTCCTTGGAAGAGCACTGTCTTCTGATTGGTAGCTTCATCACCGAAAACTCCAAAAACAAAGAGAACCCAGTTCCAGGATGATAGAAAATGTGCTTAGGAGAGAACAGGATACCCTTCCAGATCAGCAAGAAGAAAACAGAATCTGTGTCAATAATCAGCAATTCTCCATCCATGTTAAAAGACCTCCTCTTCTCCTAGAGGGTCTAGCTGTGAAAATGACAATTCAGTAACCTGGGAAGAGAGGGAAGAAACATTTGATAATTTACAGGATAATTTGCAAAGGCTGAATTCTTCAATTGTCACAGATTTTTTAATACATTACATTTTGAAAAATTCCAATTTCTTGGATGCTTTCTACATAGTTTAACAGAAGCCCCAAACAGCAAGAATTGGCTCCTTCTACCATGTTTCCCCGAAAATAAAACAGGGTCTTATTTTCTTTTGACCCAACTTTTTTTTCTGGGGAGGTCTTATTATTTTTGAGGTGCAGGAGGCGGTCACCTCACGGCTGCTCCTGTGTTGCAATATTTTCAGGGAGGGCTTATTTTAGAACATGTGCTCAAAAGTCCGAGTGGGCTTATTATCCAGGGAGGTCTTATTTTCAGGGAAACAGGGTACATACAATTTCATTCTTTTTCTGTCTTTCCCTTTAAATTTTCATAAGGAACCCTTGGATTGATGCTACTTATGTCAATCCAAGTTCTCCATCTTTCAGATAAAGTCTTGTTAAGATATCATACAAAGCTTTCTATAGTTGTTTTAGTACATGAATCAAGCCACCTTAGTTTAAAAACTATAGCAGATGTGATTACTGAACCCAACCAACTCTAGCTAAGTCAATAACTACAACTAAACAAACTACGACTTATTGCACTCTGCAAATACTATTTAAAAAAACAGGGCTTAACTATGCAAACACATTCTAAAAGACCAACTGCTTGTTTTAATGTTTTACTTTAGCTTTGCAGATTTATCTCCAAAAAGTCACACAGTATTTGGACAATAAGTACATGATGAAACTCTCTTACATTTCTCTCTTTGGGAAGTAGGAGCGCAGCCTAAGCTGATCCATTTTGGGGTACAGTTTTGATATACTTTGTCCTGTTCTATATTGGTCATTTTTAGTCATGCTTACATGCTGGCATAGCGACTAGGACACTTGATATATTTTTGTATGTGCATGTATGCATTCACTATTTCTTTTGCTGTCTTTCTTCCTATGGCCTATTTCAGAATTCCCCAACCTTTCTGGTTTTGTTGCCGAAGGGGGGAGGGGGAGAAGGGTATGGTTCCGTGCAAGAGGTGGGCAAGCACATGTGTGCAGCTCCATTTGTATGAGTGGCGGCACGCATGTTGACACACGTTTGCCTGCTGCTTACGCAAATGGGGATGTGTGTGCGCATGTGCCTGCCACTTCTTTGCCCCGGTTCCAAACAGTTCATGGCCTGCTATTAGGCTGCAGCCCTGGCCTATTCCACAGTCAATTGAAAAAAAATGCTAGATCATATTAAGAGGGTAGTTCTATCTTTGAAAAGGAAGACTAGCCTTATATGTCAGATAAAAGATGCAGCTAATTATAGACAGTTTCATGAGAGGCTGGACAGATGCTTCTAAGAAACTCAGAAGATTTGATAATCATCTATGCTTTTGTGGAGCTTCAATTCTTATTTTACCAGGATTATCAGAATTGTATCTGTAGGATTTCAGGTTGAGGAGTGCTAATGGTGACAGTTGTTCCCATTTATCCACTGGTCTCCAGCATATGTTGCTTAGTTATTTTTTCTTCTTCTAAATATACACGGTCCATATTTTGATACTATGGCTCTATGATTTTGCTTAAAGTGGCTTTTGCTGACTAGACAGCTTTCAGCAAAGTTGGGTTGCAGTTTCCACAATTTCCAATCTTTAGCTCTGTATTTTTTATAAGAGGACTCTCAACATCATTTTAGAGCTTGTCAAAAAAGCATAAATTCTAGATCTTTCCCATACCTTCACAATTTGTGTTGAATATACAGCCTGTGGGCAAGAGAGGTAGACAGTATTTGAAAGACTGCACAGGTTGATACATTTATTGGCTTTCTTGGAAAATGAATTGCAAAACTTTAGTCATTTCACCAAGAAACACTTATTTCTATTATGTCCAATACATTGTAATAGAGGTTGTAGAGGGAAGCCAATACATGAGACACTTGCACCCTGTGTTTCTAGGGATGCTAATTAAACTGGAAACAATCCTTCTCAAGAATTCACCACTCACAATCCTTCAAGCCTGGGAAGTCAGCAGTGTTGGGAGTGCCAACCTGTAGCATCTCTAGTTTCCAGCCCACTTGTCTCTCATTAATACCTATTTGGTCCAAGACTGATAAACTGATAAATGCTCCAGCAATAATTGCATTCTAAAATGCTTGTAAGATATAATTGCTTCTAGTCGTTCCTTTCAGCTTCCAAACACTTATGATACCAAGAGATGAGGTTGCTAATTGAAAACAAGTTAACAGATTATAATGCTTGTTGTTTGGAATGATTAAAAGATTGGATAGCTTTGAAAAATCTGAGGTTGTTAGACCTTGAAGGTGATTTGAGATTTGGGTGGCATGCTTATTTGTGGTATGACAAAATGAAAGATAACTCTGGTTTTAAGAATCGTATCATTAGGCAATCAATTGGATGTGTATGGTAGAAAGATTGGCTAACAAAGTACTTTGGCTATCGCTCCATGGAGTATTACATAGAAAAGAGATGTTATTGGAATGCAAATGGATGACATATTTGGATTTATTGACATTTAAAGAACAGGAACTTAAGATAAAAATAAGAGAACAATTAGTAAGTGAAGGATTTGTTGTGATTGGTTTAATTATTATAGAATTTTTTAAAAGATTTAAACTTGATAAACTAGTTTTGAATTTTGTTTTGTTGAACTGGAGATCAACTTATGTTCAAGTGATGACCACATGATTAATAAAAGTATGTACAATGATTACTTAAAAAGATGAATCTGGAAGATGAGTATGTTAAAGATTGTACGGTAAAGTGGATGAAAAAAATTAAGGTATAACATAGCGCTGGATAAATGAGGTCCATTTATGGACCAATGGTTTAAAATTTACTTTGACTTAGTTTGAAAGGAAATTGTTATAAAATGATATATGTATCATTGGATTTTGACCCCCGACAGATTAGCGAAAATGTATAGAGGAATCTCTAACAAATCTTAGAAATGTAAACAAAATCTAAGTACATTTTATCATGTGGTGGTCTTGTAAACATGTTAAACCCTACTGGACAAGCATAATTACGGTAACACAGAAAATATTTAAGATACAAATACTAATGAAACCTGAAGCTTTTGTAATTATTATTCATAAATCAATTAAAAAACAGTGGATTTGCTAAGCATTAGAAAGGAAGAGAGATGCCAATTGTTGAAAAATGGATTTTAAAAGTGACTGAATTAAAATTAAAAGTAACAGAGATGGCATTAACTGCCTTGATTAGAGGAAAGGAACTAGACAATTTTATGAGGGATTGGAAGCCATTAGCGGACTTTTTACATGTTAATGCAATCACAGAAAATTAACTGAAGGATTTGAAGATGAATGTACTGTTTGAACTAACCTCTTGACCTTTTCTCCTTTGTTTTACATATGTATTATGGTTAGATGTTGGGCCAATGATTATTAGACAGAGACTAACTCACCTGGAATATTTGTTTATTTAATATAGTGTTTTTATTAAATAAGGATGAGAAAGTTTATACTTGTATAAGTTTATACTTGTATATACTTTGTAATCCCGTTATATAAGGAGAGAACTTAACAGGTATTTTTTTTAAAAAAAAATACTTTTCAGGTGGGTTTGTTCAAGGTTACATCTATTTACCATTGGGTTAGTGGTAGTTGTACACAACATTTCTTCCCTCATTAGTCCTGGATGCTCATTTTTCTGCTTTGTATATTATTTTTATTGATAAAATAAATAAATAAAAAAGAAAGAAACGTGAGAGTATGCAAATGTATTAAAAAAGGGACTTCTGTTTACCTGAATCTGACCCCTGAGTTCCTCTTCTGATAAACAGTCAATGAGGTCATTCTCAGGACAGCTGTATTCCACTGCCAACTTCCCATTTTCTGGGGAAAAAAACAATAAAAAATAAGGCCAACTTGAATAAATCAAACACAGAGTTTGAAACATTTCTGAAATTTAGGATTTTATAGATTCTCAATTTAGGATTTTTGAACTAAAATTATTAATACTTTCTTATTATTTCTAAAGTGTTTATAATCAATGACTATAAATGGTTTATCTGTTTGAAAGTAAGATTAATTTAGATGCGATAAGAGATATTCATGGGCAGAATCTCCTGAGCAATGGCTAAAGTTGTTTCTCAATAACAATCAACAGTAATGTGCCCCTGAAATATGACAATCGGTGAAAGGAAAGATCAACTGGAAAATATTGGTGTGAGCATAAATATCAACAATGTAAATATACCAACAAAATGAATCAGGAGTTCCCATGATGCAAGTAACATGAGAGAAATGAAGAGTCAGGGGATGAAGTTATTTCATGATTATTGACATGACTAAAAACAAAGTTTCTTTGAAGGCAAATAGAAACAAGGCACAGAGAATGGATATAGGGAAGCATGAAGCTGAATGCTTTGGGAAGAAAAAGTCAAATTATAGAGCAGATAAATGTATTCGCAACAATGTGAAGAATATGTTAAGAGGCCATTCAACTTGTACTCTCTAACTCGCCAATAGCTAATTGGAATAATGGAAGCTCTTATCCAACTCATCTGGAGGTTGATGACATGAACAATTTGAGCCAAATTGAAAAAGTTTTAGAGAAAGTATATAGAATAAGTAAAAAATTGATTTACTGCAATTTAGCATGACGAATAAGATTACAATGAACCTTGGCTTTGCACATTCCTGCTTCTCTTTCTTATTACAGCTAGGCTTTCAAGAACACTTCATGGGAAAACACTTAACATTTTTATTTGCAATTTGTTGCTCTTCATACTCACAAAAGAATTACAAATTAAACTAAGCTTTGATCCATATAACCATTGTTTATTGAACAAGCCAAATTCAGTTCCTGTAGTATGTTACGTTGCAAACAAACCACTTACAGGTTTAGAGCAAAGTATACATTCAGGAAATCTGATTAAGATTTGAAAGAAGCCACTCTGAAAAAAGAAATTGGAGGTATGACTTAAAGCAAACAAATAGTTTGATATCCTTGGAATTATAAAAATATTCAAACATTTCCTTGGATGGGAAATGGAGGGAAGTACAGAAGGATAAGGAAGGTAGATGGTCTTGCCTAAGATGATGAAGAGTATTTTCCGAAATGCATCTGAAAGTGCCTGTTGCACTGCAAACTTCTGAGCATTGCGGGAGGCTGTGAGAAACCCTGAAAGACATAAATCCAAATTTTCTTGGTAGCTCAAGCACTGCTGAACATTTTTGAATCAATGTCAGCCCTCCCCTGGCAAAAAATGGCAGTTCTGACACAATAGCTAGTTCAAATTTAATTCAGTTTCAATAAATAAAAACTGTATTTGACATAAGAAAATAAAGTTAATACAAATTGATATGTATGTATGTATGTATGTATGTATGTATGTATGTATGTATGTATGTACGTACGTACGTATATGTTGTATTTGTGCTGATAAATAAATAAAGGGAGACTAGTATAGATCTATTTCAAACTATTTAGCTCTCATCAGCTAGCCATACCCTTACTGGGAATCGAACCTGTGCTGTATTGCATCTTAGGCAGATGTGTTAACCACTGAGTCACAGAGCTCGACTCCTTATCAGCCAAGCCAGGGTGAAAGGTATCTAAATAGATAACTTTCACCATTCTTTCTTTCTTTCTTTCTTTCTTTCTTTCTTTCTTTCTTTCTTTCTTTCTTTCTTTCTTTCATCTATCTATCTATCTATCTATCTATCTATCTATCTATCTATCTATCTATCTATCTATCTATCCATCCATCCATACATATACATATACATATACATATAATTTACACTAATCTTTTTTATGTGGCAAACACTGGTTTAATGAAGTTCTACCATTGTAGTAGAGTTAATCTGGAACATAGTGAATTTGAGTACTATCTGGCTATTAAACTCAGTGAGTCTGCACATCAAACTAAGCCTTATTATCAGTTTGCTGAATAGTGCATTGTTGTGACTTTAATAGAGTCCTTACTCGAGTTATCACTTCTGTTTAACCTACTTTCAAGGATAATGAAGAAGGTAATTATACCCCATCAATGTGGTGTAATGTTTCCTTATAACAGTTCTGTGACGTGAGTTGAGCTGAGAAAGTGACCAGCCCAAAATCACTGAGCCAACTTTTATGCCAAAGAAAAGACTAGAACTTGCAATCGCCTGTTTTTTTAATTGTGGGACTCCTCAAAGGACATGCAGCATGAATATAATGGAGCATATTTCCATCTTATATTCAAATACATTTCAATCTATCTACAATCAAGCTTTCTTCAATCAGGTTAGCACTAACCATACCTTCCCGTGATTCAGAGGAGGTATTCAGCCAGTTCGGATCGGTTCACCCAAACAGACAGTGAAATCACAGGTGGGCCTGCCCACTTGCCCCAGCTCTATGCCATTCTATTTAGGCACATTTTCAAGCTGTACGCATGCGTACAAGCCACATGTGCAATCAAAGCACATGCGCTGAAGGCAAAGAGCATGCATGTGCACACATTTGTGAACTGGTAGGGAAGGTAAGTGAATGCCACCCCTGCCGTGATTCCAATGTTCTACAAACTCTTATACTTCCCAAACTAGATGGGACATAGCTGGAGGATACCTGGCTGAAGGAGACTACAAAACTAAACCAGTCAAAGTATTTAACCATTTTTCAACTTGCTGCAGATTCCAAAAATTAGGAGCCATCTTTCCAACCCACAGTCTCTATCTACATTTAACCCTAAACCATAACTTAACATATACCAAAGGAAGCTGTGCTTTTTATTGGAATTGAAATGTCATTGAAGTCCTTAGTAGCCCTTCATCAAGAATCATCCCCAAAAGTGATTCTTTTGATGGGCAAAACCCCATCCAAGAAAGGAAAAACCCGGTTTCTGACTGCATTGTAAGTGATAGTATTACTTTAATTCCGTTTTGGGTACTTTAGCCTTCCCTACCCTCTCCATTCCCCTGTTACCTTGACTGGGGTCCACTTGAAGTTCAGCCACACCAATCCCTCTGGTATAGATCCCGTAACTTGGGATATTTAATTCTTGCACACAAAGATACTTTGAATGATGGGGTCTGGGCAATGTTCCTCCTTCTTCTTTCTCGTCTTCTTCAAAGCCAGGTACATTCTGCAGCTGTTCCATTATGCGAGTAAAATATAGAAAGCAAGAGCCCATACCTTTATCCATCTCCTACGTTGGATTCTTTTTCATTCCCCTTCCCGTAATTCTATTGCAAAACATTTGCATTATGTAGATTAGTGTTCTGCACCAAGAGCGCAGTTCTTGTTTTGCTTGCATTCTTGGCAGCTCCCTATATTCATGAAACAATAAGCACCTTGTCTCTCACATAGAGACAGAGTCTAGAACAAACTAGAAGGAGTGAGAACAAATGGAAGAATGCTCCCCTGTCCTTTGGAATTCAAGGGAGGGAGGGAAGGAAGGAAGGATTCATTCATCTCTTTCGTTGGGCCTTGAAGGTATTTTGGAAAAAAACCCACCTTGGACTAGCTTTTAAGTAGATTTTATCCCTTTCCTCAGGAGAGAAAAGGACTAAAGGGTCACACCATATAGAAGCAATGATCAAAGAGGAAGGAAATAAATGGATGGCTGGGCCAATCTCAATCAAATCTTTAAAGGGAGGATAAACCTTTTGGGGTCCATGGCCCTTGTTATAGCAATAGCAATAGCAGTTAGACTTATATACCGCTTCATAGGGCTTTCAGCCCTCTCTAAGCGGTTTACAGAGTCAGCATATTGCCCCCAACAACAATCCGGATCCTCATTTTACCCACCTCAGAAGGATGGAAGGCTGAGTCAACCCTGAGCTGGTGAGATTTGAACTGCAGAACTGCAGACCTCTGAAGTAGCCTGCAGTGCTGCATTTAACCACTGCGCCACCTCAGCTCTTGTTACACCATTGCTCTGTGAACTGCATTGGCTGCCAGTTTGTTTCTGGATGCAATTCAAGATTTCAGCAATCACCTTTGAAGTCCTTCATGGCATAAGGTCCAGGTTACTTGAGGAATTGTCTATCACAATGGGATTGGTCTGCCCTACCCATGCTAGCAGAGAAGGCATGCTGGGGGCCCCATTGGCCTGGATGCTGGGGCCCAGAAGATCCTTCTCTGCTGTTGCTCCTGTCCTTTGGAACATCTTGCCCCTGACGGTGAATTCAACTCCCTCTCTCCTGACCTTTTGTAAGAACCAAAAACCTGGCTCTTGCCAGTTAGCCTGGGGTTTCAATAGGGGAGTGCCACACTGGTGGTGCTTAATGACAAATCCCTCCAACCTCCCTGCTCCTCTTACTCCCTTCACATCTCTTAGTTAGTTTATAGTTTGTACTTTCATAGTATTTTATTCATATTAGAGGTGTGTTTATCCTTCTTAAAATTGTAAGCTGCCCAGAGTTACTGTAGTAAGATAGGCAGCAAACAAATCTAAATAACTAACTAAATGGATATGTAAATAAACAGACCATAATAAGAAGACAAACATCCAGAGATGAAGAAGTACAACTACCAATATAGATTTGCCTGAATTAATATTTTTCTCCAAACACTTCTTAGAACATCACAGTGCTGGAAGTAGAAAATGAACATTTATATTATGTATCAAAAACAATCAATTAAAACAGCTCCCCATGTTAGCAAAGTATCACCTATAATCTAATTACCTTTTCCTTATCTGTTTTCTAGGTGCATTGGAGTAGAGTATTTTTCCTCTCTATGCCAGCAGGGATAGGGAAAATGGGAATTGTCTGATAATCCAATTACCATTGGACTGTGGTAATTTAATTTACACGTGTGTCAACAAGTGGAAAGTTTAGGTCACTTCCATCACATGTGGTCAACTACTAAACAATGTCTTCTCTTGTCCTGGTGGTGGCAGTGATTAGAATGCAGAATTGCAGGCAGACTCTGCCCACTGCCAGGAGTTTGACATTAAGAGGCTCAAGGTCCACTCATCCATCCTTTTGAAGTCAATAAAATGAGCCAGATTGTTGGGGAACATATGATGACATTGTAAACTGCTCAGAGAGTGCTGTAAAACACCATGAAGTGGCGTATGAGCTAGCTGCATTGCTATTACTATATTTAGTCTTAGCATTCTTATAAAAACAGAAAAATAAGAAACAAAATTAAAATCTAAGTAATTCTTACAGTGATGATGCGACTGGACCAACCATTGAAACCAAGGTAGTAATTGGCTAATTCTTGGCTTTTGCAACTGCTCAAAGGTAATGTTTGCTTTGCAAGGGCCCTCTGTCTGGTGCAAATGCAAACCTGAAAAAGAATTCAATATCTCATTAGAGGGGTGTATAGAACTTCACCAACACCATTTTCTCCCAAAGGAAATGAAGCCATCAAAGACTGAATTTCACCCTTGCTAAGAATCTAACAGGAAAAATGCTACCAATAATCCATGCATGTATTTTCCTATCTTTTACAAATAGATAAAAAAAGATGGACATATTTTTATATCATTTTTTTGCTCTTCATAAATATTTATTAATGTTTTTCAATAAAACATGTAGAAATTGGAGAGAAAACTGTTCGTTACCAATGTAAGAACTGATAAAACGAAACTCCATTCCATGACTAACTTGAACTGGTTGCCTTCAGATATGCTGAATTTCAACCTGTATAATTTTTAGCCAACACATTTGATTCTGTAGCGTTTCATATTCTAAGATAGCTCACCATTTCAATCCCAAAGTTGTACATGTTCACAGAGTTTACAAATGGACTGTTTGTATACCGTCAACAGTCCACAATTCAGCATCCTGGGATACTTCAGAAACTTTAGGAAGAGGAGACTGGCCCTCCAAGAGAGCAAGGAGGATCAGCATGGATATATTATATCACCTGCACATTGGGCCTACCAGAGGTCATTAAGAAGTGCAACCAATGCCTGCTTCATGATGGCATTCAATCTGAAACTTGACTGAAAGAGATTCAGATAATTTGCTAAAATGTGGGCTCTTTGGAGCTGCAACACAACAGCTTCTCAACAACTTTATCTAAAATGGGAAGGTTAGAGATAGGCTGAAAATTATGCAGTAGTCAATTCTTGAGGAAGGAGTGGGACACTGCCTCCTTAAGTATAAGCAGAAAGTTTACCTTAGCTTAGACTTAAGTCACATGCCATCTTTTGGGAGGCCTTAATCAAAAACGTGAGAAACATGGATGTAAGATACAGGTGGCATGCTTACAGCTTCCTGTCCATTTCTTCAGGGCCAATAGGATCAAAGTCTTCACAGATAACCATGTAAGGCTAGAGATGCTACAGTGTTAACAATATTGAAATAAGCCCCAACTATTAATGAGGCTGCTTTGCATATGAAATAACTGAGGGAATACCCTTTTGCACTTTGGGTCAAAGAACAGATGCTTTAGTGACCTTGACATTTACTTACTTACTCCAAAGAAAGTTAACTGCATCCCTTGGCAGGGTAAAGCAACTTGCCTACCAAGAAAAAGTCAGCACATTCTTGATCTGCTCAAAACTATTCAGGATCTTGATAAAATCAGGCTTCAAATCACCGAGAGCTATCCTACGGCAATAATTCATTACTTTAAAAGACCTTCAGCTGTAGCATTTGGTTCACATATTGTACTAGTGCATTTTCTTAGGTTTTAATTTACAGTGTTGTATGAACATAACCACAGAGGTCAGTAAAGTTCAGTTATATTTCATTGCGTAAAACACCGTTAAGCAAATCATAGTCTAGTATGCGCTGCAGACTCCATTATCTTAGATTATGCAGTGACATACCTTCAGAGCAGTTTTCTGAAACAGTGACCTCCCGTTGCACACCTGTTGTGCCTTGCTGGCATCTCGGGCAGAATAGAACTTAACAAAGGCATGATAGCCAGGGCCAGCTACTGAAGCATTTCTGTGGACTCTTACAGAATGGAGCAGTCCAAAAGCAGAGAAGGTAAGATGGAGAGCATGCTGGAGGGGGGGGGGGAGGCAAACACACAAAGGAATCTATTAGAAAAGACAGTATAAAGAATTACACTTTTCCTGAAAGTTGATTAGGCTTGGAAGGCAAACTGAAGACTGTTCATTCTTGCTTTGTTGGGCAAACCTTGAATAGTGGTTCAGTTTCATGCTGGCTGATGACTTCCAGTATGCATACATCTAATCTTTAGAGTACAGGACAATGACAGGTTGTAGAGTCAACTTACAACCACAATTGAGGCAGTGGTGGGTTCCGGATCCTGTCGCAACCAGTATGCTGCGACGGGGCCGGGTGTCCACCATGTGCACATGCGCTGCACACGCATGCACAGCCACTGTCCTGCGATGCTTCAGCTGCTTGGCGGAGTGTCGTGCAGGTGCCGTAAGCTGCACGTTCGTGCGCAAATGGCCCACTAGCTTAAAAAGAGGTAAGAAACGAGGGCGGGCAGGTGGGTCCAACAGAAACACCTTCCCGGTACGGTGGCAGCTGGAAGCTGCACCCATACCGGAGCGTACCACCCAGAACCCACCACTGAATCGAAGTCAAAATTTTTGTTACAAGGTGAGACAGATGTTAAGTGAATTTTGCCCCATTTTACCTTTCTTACCACAGTTGTTCAGCGATTCACTGTAATTACTAAGTTAGTAACATGGTTAAGTGAATCTGGCTTCTCCATTTACTCTACTTGTCAAAAGGTCCTTGGGATACCACAACTGTCACAAATAGAAGCCAGTTGCCAAGCACTGAATTTTGATCACATCGCCATAGGGATGCGGCAACATTCATAAGAGTGAAAAACAGTCCTAAGTCACCTTTTTCAGTTGTTGTAAGTTTGAATGGTCACTAAACAAACCATTGTAAGTCGAGGATTACCTGTATCTTTAGAAGTTTATAGGTCAATAAAGTTCAGTGTTTTTAATTTGTGAACCTATCTACTTTTTAAAAAAGGGTGTTGGGTGGAAAGCAAAGTAATAAAGACTCTACCAATAGCACTGATAAAAAATAAGCCTAAACCCCAAAAAATTGGATGGAAGTTGTTAATCTATGAACTCAAGACAAACTTCTCAATGGTGAATTCTCAATTTCCTAGCTTAGGGATTCCTCCCCCAAAGTGCCTATACAATTAAAAAAAAGACCTTCCACTTTTTAATATTTCAATGACTCGGTTATGCTAGTGGGATGTCTTAATTAGTTTTGCTTTTGCTTTTTTTAAATATGTGTGTCTATAAGCTGCCATGGGAAAATGTCTTTTTTTTTTCAACCATATCATTTATAAAAACAGATAAAACTGTCAGAGTCCCTACTTAGTTATATATTGCACCACTAAATGCTCAAAGAAGGTGAAACTAAGGGTGCTTAATGTACTATATATGTAGTCCTTGACTTACAAGTTCATTGAGTGACTATTTAAAGTTATGACAGAACTAAAAAATATGACTGTTTTTCATAGTTGTGACCTTTGCAGCATCCCCCGTGATCATGTGATCAAAATTCAGATGTTTCGCCAACTGGCTCATATTTGACCTTTGATGTATTCCAGGGTCATGTAAGCACCTTTGGCGACCTTCTTACAAGCAAAGGCAATGGGGAAGCCAGATTCACTTAACATCTGGATTACTAATTTTTCAATTGCAGTCTCACTTAACAACTATGGCAGAAAGGTCGTAAAATGGGGCAAAACTCATTTAACAAATGTCTCACTTAACAGAAATATTAGGCTCAATCATGGACATAAGTTGAGGACTACGTGTATGAGCAAATCCCTGCCATAAATCAGACATTGAGCATTTTTTCCAAGCCCTGTACTTCCTTAAGAACATTTTCACAAGAGTTTTCACTACTTTTTTTAATAACAAGAACATGCTTCATTACAAACTTTGTTTAAAAATAAGGTTAAATTAGTTATTTAGCCTGAGGCAACAAAAATCAAGCCTTGCAAAAGAATAAAAATTCATGTTTTTAGACAACAGCTAACTTCTGTTGAATTTTACTTTATGAATTTATTTTTCTTCTTTCAAAAGAATAAGATTTGGAAACTTAAACCATAAAATATGAGTCAGCCAACAGCCCAGCCGTTTTTAGAAAGGAAGAGATGGAAGCTCCAGAATTATTACTCGACCGGTTCACAATTTGAAAACTGGCTTCGGCAAATTTTAGGTACCTAAATATGCTATAAGAGTATCGTAAGTTCAATGAATGGAAGCCTTAAAAAAAAGGACGAACTGCTTGCGCAAAGCGTACTGTGTAGTTTTACTGCGACCGCACACACACACACTCGCCTTCATCCCCGCCGCCCGCAAAGGAACAACGCACCAAAATGCCACTTAACCCAGCGATTCCCACCTTGGGGTTGATCTAACAGCCCCAATGCTTAAGGCGGGAAGAAGGCGTTTTTCAAACACGGTTCCCACAAGCTCAAAGAACTTCCTTGCCAATAAAATATTATAACAAAGAAGCAGCGGGTGGAGAGGTAGCAACAGCAGCTTTTGCTGGCTTACACAAGTGCATTGAAAAAGTGGCCGGAAACTTTGAAAAGATGTCGACACACGGGGAGGGAAATGGTTGGAGGAAAACCCAGCCTTGCTTTTTCGTTACTTGCCTCCGACGCCTCCAGCTCCAGCCCCAAGACTAAAAGAGTCCGGCCATTCCCCTGGGGGACGCGGAACTCCACAATCTCAGCCATGCCAGGCACGACCGTCGGGGGCAAAAGGGGTAAACGTAGACAGGAGGAAGACACCCCTGTACTTCCCGCCTAAAGGGGGCGAATGGAGATCACGAACTTCAGTACTCCTGCAGCACGTCTGGATTCAGCTCGCAGATTGGTGGAAGAAACTGAATCCACGTGATGCAGGAGGAGGAATCCCATTGAAAGAAGCCTTTAGTGTCAGAGCGAGTAGGCTCGGTCTTAATAGCAAGCGATGGGGTGCGTTTTCTTGACTAATTTGGAAGCGAAGGAAAGCAAAACAAGGATGAGGAAAAGGTCTCCCGCTTCCTAATATCGTGAAGGACGATATTTCCTAAAGTCCTCGTTTTTCTTCCCTAGAATTGAAATAGGGAACGCATGTACAAACGCTACGAAATGCCTGGGCTTGCTTTACTCTTGTGTAAGAAAGGCGATCCGTTTTTCTTCTTGGACGCTACTCTTCTCTTATTTCTCTTCACTTTCTTTCTATAAGATAATCCTCGACTTACGATCACAATTGAGCCCAAAATTTCTGTTGCTGAGGGGAGACAGTTACTGAGTTGTATTTTTGGTTCTTTCTTGCCGCAGTCAAGTGAATCACTGCTGTTAATAAATTAATAACATACTTAAGTGAACCTAGCTTGCGTTTTCATTTTGCTTGTCAGAACTTTGCAAAAGATGATTACATGATCCCATGATACTGCAACATTTTATGAACCAGTTGCCAAGCATCTGAATGTTGATCATGTGACCATGGGGCTACTTCAATGGTCATAAATGTTCACAAGTCATTTTTTTCAGTGTCCTAGGAACTACGAACACTAAACAAATGGTAGCAAGAAAGGACTATCTATGCACTAATCACTGAAGCAGTAGGTGTGAGCTGAGATGGACTCCAGAGGATGGTAGAGGATAGGAAGACCTGGACGAATGGTGTCTATGGGGTCATGATGGGTCGGACACGACTTTGCAACTAACAACAACATATACACTATGTATCAGCCCTGAAATGATTATAAAATGCTCAGCTATTGATAGCTAAACCATCTGTTGGTTGAATCAAGTCATTGCTGTTATTGTCGATCTTTTATTCAAACCAAAACTGTATTAATAAATTAGTTCTGTAACACAGTTTAGGACAACCCATGAGCTTAACCAAAAGACCAGAGGAGTTTACACAGTACGCTGAACTGTGATTAGATTTTTGTGGAATAATCCTTGATTGAATGGGTTCATCAGTCCTGTGGATTACAAATGACCAGTCTGAATTAAGACAACATGCTGTCTAAAGCTACCTAGTTGTGATTTATTCAAAAAATGAAATTTACATTTGACAGAGTAGGTACTATACCTGAAGTGACTTTTCTGGCTAAATATAGTTTTGCTTCATTGACATACTACATCTTACTGATTTTTGTTTTAAACGTTTTAATTTAATTCAAATATTTTAATTTAATTTTGCTTTAAATATTTTAATTTTGTTTTGCTTCAAATAGAGCCAGTTTGGCCTAGTGGTTAAGACACTCAGCTAGAAACCAGAAGACAGTGAGTCCAAATCCTCCCTTAACTAGGAAAGCAAAGAGGGTGACTTTGGGCCAGTCACTTTTTCTCAGCCCAACCCACTCTCAGGGTTTTTGTTGTGGGGAAAATAGGAAGAGGGGGATATGTCTGATACTGCCTTGAATCATTTCTAAAAATAATAAAGATGGGGTGTATATATATATATATGAATATGTATCTGAGCTTAGAATTACAGATATAAATTAGACCTGATCACTTTTTACCATGCAAAAATGTGTTTTGGGGAATATTTTGCAGTATGAGGGGCAGTATGAAATAAAATTTGATAATCGGAAATATTTAGGCCTTGTCTATAAAATGTTTGAATGCCACCTATGCTGTTGGTGTTTTAAAGGGCCTGGGAGACATGAGTCTTTGCAAAGAGGCCTTTGTTGAGGATGTGACACTCCTTTTTCTTTGTTCTCATCCAGAAGTTTTTTTCCTTCCCATCTTTTTATCCTGTTTCTTTTGTATTTTTGGAATGCTACTCATTTTTAGATGTTTTTGTAAACCACCCAGAGTTTCTGGGAGTCAAGTGGTGTAATACTTTAATAAATTGTTTACACCATTCTGGCTGGAAGGAAGGAGAGAAGATACTCAGCAGAAGATTTAGGGTATCCAAAATCACCAGGGAAAGAAATGTCATAATATGTATTCTCTACAAAAGCCAGCAATTAAAGCAGTTTATTGATGAAAGCGTGACCAGATTTAGCACCTTTTTTACAAGTAATGCTCATGCCCAATTCATTATTAATAATGATGTGCAGTCATATCTCTTTTATCTGTCATATCTCCCTTAGGCTAGAAATTAGGGTTTTTTGGGAGGGAGGGGAGGGAATGTTAAAATCTAATATTCTCTAGCCTGATCTAACTGCAAGCAAATATCTTACGTATTATCACAAGCTTGTTACTTGTCCCCTTATATTATTTCTGCATTTAGAAGTGTCACTTGATCACAAAGACATTTAAGTGAACAAAAAGTCTTTACAGAATAAGCCTTAAGGTAGTAGGAGTAAGCAGACTTTGATGTGAAAAAATGTTAAGATTTCACTGAGTCTCATTAAAATAATTTTGTTGTCTTAAATTAAATCAGCATAAGGGGAAAGAAAATTGCTTTCATTACAAACTGGGATTGAGCCAACGCTTTTCTCCTGTTAAAATATATTTACAAGGCTGACAAAAGTCAGCTATAAGCCAAGATGGAGCCTAAATTCTTAAAGTTTTGGGGAAATAATTCCTGAGTAATTGTAAGATGAAAATTGTATTCTAGAGTATGAGAAAGGCTTTGTACTAAAAGACAAAATTGTATGGATGCTTTTGGACAATTTTTCCAATGGAAAAAAAAATGAAAACCACGTCATATTATGGAGAACACTCTAGTATGAAAAAAAATTTAAAGTACAAGTTAATGAGCTTATTTGAGTGTGCATTCTGGGCTTTTGAGTAGGGGCTTCTTCATGTAGTCTTTTATTTGGAATTATCTTAATTTTATAGGACTTAAAGTGAAGGAAAATTACATTTATAAATAGGTTTAGAGATACATGTTTTGAGCAGAATGGCTATTCCGACAGCAACTTTGTGATCCTGTGTAAAATAAGGTCAATGGCTTTAAGGTTGTGTCCTTTAGCATTTAAGAGACAGACAGACAGGTTGCACTACTAATTCTTCAACAGCAAAAATGCACTTATTTTTTTGCACAAATGTAAAGGAGCATTGAGAGACATCACAAATAGCAGGACTTTGAAATGGTAGTAGGTTTGCTTTTTACTTGACTCAGGCATGTAGGCAATTGGAGCTGCAATTGCACATTCATTTTTCCAGATTCTAGAAAACTGAGTAGGAAACGTGGAATGGAAAGGCAATTTTTTTTCCTGCCTTTGGGGACACAGCTTATTCCTTTAAAATGAAGATGACAATGGCATTTTATCACTCGCAGGAAGGTGTCCACTTTGTGCAGGTTTTCCTGAAGCAGTAAAGTAAAAACCGAAAAGCTGCCTTGGTGGCACATTAATAGGAAAGTTAAATGTGTGTAGAAGGTACTGAGTTGAATACCGCTACAATAACTATGAATAGCTAATTTCATTGATACACTGCACATTGCATGATTGCTAAACACAGGTGCTTATGAATTCATTTTGGGATTTATTTTTCTTTTAATTTTACAGTATACCTTGAGTCTGTATACTCATCCATTACAACCTCAAAATTAGCTAATTTTCTTTATCCTTTATCACCCCACTCCTATTACAATCGTATACAGGTAATCTCCAATGTATGGCTGTAATTGAGTTTAGTATGATTCTAAGACGCTGATTATTAAATGGGTCATCATGTGATCAACCTGATTTTACTTTTTTTAATGACATTTAAGCAAACCCAAAAAGCAATTCCATTGTGCACAATTGGGGAGGGGTTAGTGTTGTTTTTTGCCGGAAACTGGAAGTAAATGCCAATTTTTAGCAAGAAATATCGTAAATTGCAGTGACCTAGCAATAGTGCTGCAAGACTATAAATGAGGGCCATTTGCCAAGAGCCCAAAACACATTCATGTGATCATGGAGGGAGTAATCTTTGGAATTTTGAATCTGGGTCACAAATATCTTTCTGGGTGGCTTTTAGCTACTTATAGCTACCATAGAATATGTCTCTCGTTCCATGAGCGCATAAAACTAATTCATAATAGGATCCAATTTCTTTTTGGCTTAATATAGAAGCTTCTCTGTACAGGTAGTAATTGTTTATAAGCCGCAGTGGCATTTAATTAAGGCAAAAACAAAACAGCATTATTGCTTAGCTTAATATGAAACTGGTTAAATGAAAGAAGCAATAAGGAGAAAATTTGCAGAAGTACCATTTGGAGAGTAGCATGCTCTGTTGTGGATTGGCATAATATGACTGAGTTCATTATACAAAATCATAATCTTTGTTTGGTTTTAACAGTGTGCTGTATGAATCCAGATTTGTGATTTTAAAGCATGACTTCAATGTAGTGTAGTATGTGACCTTAGCTTTTGGTCTTTCTTAGTGAATTAAAATGCTATTCGTGGATCACTGCATTGACAGAAAAGTATGTCTGCAGAAAATTTGTTGTCTTCAGTGCTGAAACTCATTCTGATTCATTGTCTAATAGTGTTATTCTGATTATGAATTTAGCTCGTGAAAGCAAAAGGATGGTAGTTTAGTCTTCTGACTTTGGTGCCTTCCTTCTTCATATTACTAGCTGATTGGAAAAACATCTACTAACTGTGCAACTGATTCATACTATTGCCTCACAAGATCTTCCTCTGGGATGTGTGTGTGACATCACAAGGAACATAGAAAAGGTATGGGGCTATGATGTCAGCCCGACACGCTCCCTTCTCTGAAGCAATGAGGTACTCATATCACAGCAGCAAGAAGAGGATAGATATAATTTCAGAGTTATTGCATCACTAGGCTCCTTTTTTGTGCTGCTTATCCAA